GTGGCTCTCATTTTATCAGCTCTGCAAAGAAAGTGTCCTTCACCTCCTTCGCTCCTGACCACATCATGGAGGAAGCCACACATAGTAAGACCCTAGGAGCTTCCAAATCACCAGTAAACAATTCAACACTTAGAAGAAGTGTTTTCTCCCTTGAAATAGTTCTTTCATTCCTATGAGTGAGAGCTTGAGCAGGTATCCTACTAGTATATAATAAAAGGCAAATATGCAAATTGTCCCCTCAGGAGTTCGACAGACAGGGAGACCAGGAGTTGGACCGACCAGGAGTTTGACCACTTGCTATGATGTGTGCACCACCAGGGGGCAGTGCGGAATGAAGGAAGGCCCCGGCCGGCAGCTGGGGGAAGGAAGGCCCCAATGGGCCCTGATCACTGGCCAGGCTTAGGGACCCTATCCGTGCACAAATTTCGTGCACCGGGCCTCTAGTGTCAAGATAAGAAAGAGGGAGGGAAGCATTTCAGACCAAGCAGTTTTCCAAAGTGACACCACAGACCTCAAGAGTCATGACATTTGCTTGCGTAAACAGGAATTTAGCTGGCAAGCACCAGAGTTAAACATTAAATACATTTCTTTACCGGGGGGACTTCTCAGAGCCTTTAGGGTGCATGTGTATACCATAAGTCTCCGCCACAAAGAAGATCATGGAGGTGGAACTTCCTAAATGACATGACTATGGAAGTTCTTTTTCAAGTTACATCGTACGGGAAGAGAATGTCTCACGAGAACCAGGGCAGGGGACCCTCACACAGGATCTCAGTGTGAATGTTGTCATGCCCAGATTAACAGAAATCAATCACCACCCAATCCCTGAAGGCCGGAGGTCCTTTCGGGGGTGCCTGGGAACCAGGTCTGTACCAGCTCCCATCCCTGGGACTATGGAACAGTCATCAGTTTTATCAACAGTGACCCGTTTCCCCAGCGCCTCTCACGTGGCCCAACCGGAAGCAGCATCGGCTGAGGCGTGGGCATCGCTGGGAACTGGGAGGTGGAGGTTTTTATCGATGCCGCAGAGGTGCCGGCGCTCCGCAGCTCCTCCCCCGGAAAGACATTATCAATGTGGGAGCAGCACGCGGCACTCCTCGTCCTTCCACGGTGGAGAGGAAGCATGTGACTCAGAGAGACCCATATCTTTCTTGAAGTCACCAGAGTTCATCCCCATGCTTCCCCCTGCTCAGTGCCCTGGGGTTTTCCCCTGGTTTCATTTTCAAAGACCCTTTCTCCACAGCCTCAGCGTTGGGGGGAGGGAGGCACACGCTCCATAAACACCAGCAGTGACCCCTAATCCTGCCCAGGAGGGTGCAGGGAGATAACCCCATAAACATATCACAGTCAAGCGGGTCAGCTGGTCATACTGACGCCCTGGCTGAAGGCTCCAATTAACAGTGGTCTCGGCCCGTCACGGCCTCTCCAGAATCCAGACCCCATTACTCTGAGCCCCCGGAGATATGGTTAGACTACCTTAGGTCTACCCCATGGGCTCAGACCATTGCTCTGTTCAGTCTTTCCCATCAGAGAACCTACAGAGTGTATTAAATATGCAGATTCCTGACTCATGTGGACCTACCCAACCTACTCAATCTGGATTTCCTGTTCCCTGGAGCCAAAGACCCATCAAGCATAGTTCTCTGAAGGGTCAGACTCCAACCAAGATTCCCAAAGGGACTCAGATGGCTCCGATCCATGAGGTCTATTCTACACTCTGGGCGGATACTTAGGGAAAGTGACCCACATATTCCCAGTCCAGCCTTTGGGCTGCACCAGTCTTGGTTCCAAAACATTGGGGGAAATAAATATAAGAATCTAGGCCCCACGATAAATTCACAAAGATATCTGGGACTAGACCTGGCTCCATGAGGTCAAGGTCAAACTTGGAAAGGGTTTGAGAAAGTGGAGGATTTGAAGTTAGCGGCCAAGGTCAGTCTCAATCATCTCACTTGCACACGCGTGTGCACACACAGAGTCGGCTGTGAAAAACATTCTCAGACGCGAACGTGCAGGAGATGGAGAGTACTATCCACACTCTGATGAAGCTTCCAGGTCAACTCCCAAAAGCGGCTGGAAGGAGACAGCAGAGGTGCCTCAATACTTCGTCACTTACCTGCCGGCCACCCAACAGAATCTTCAGATCCAAGTGAGGTGACAAACCCCTATAACAGCCACAGTGTGCGCCCCCCTCCCTTCTGTCTGAGCCCCTGCTATTCCAAAGGCTCTTCTCCTCACCTTCCCAATGCCTTCATCCTGGGGGGCGCCTCCTACCACATCGGTGGTGGACGGATGAGAGAAGTGGCCGGCAGTAACCGCATAGCCTGTAAGGAATGGGCAGACGCCAAGGGCAGGTTGAGAAACAATGACAGGGAAGAGAAAGATCCATCAGAGGAAGACGTTTCTCAACTAACCCTCATCTAGATAGTTATTATGCAGCCAGTCTTGGAACCAATGGCAGCTGTTGGTCTTCTCGTGCTGGAATAACTCGTCTCACACAAAGGCATGTTCGCCAGGACATCAGGGCAAGAAAGAGCAGTCTCTGACTGTCTGCTTTGGGACTGGGCTACATACTCCATGTCTGTTTTCTTTTTCTTATTGACGTATTTTTGAATGTTCATACAGTACACACATCTGAAGTGTAGAACTTAATGAATGTGTATACATGTATATAACCATGTAATCGCCACCCAGAGTGGATGTCACCATGGAAACACAACCGAGGAGGGTCCCTCATGCCCTTTCCCAGTCAATGCCCCCTCACAAGTAGCCACGCTTCAGAATTCTATCACTACACATTATGTCTTCCTGGTCTAGAACTTCACTCACTCAACATAACTGTCACACCCATCCATGTTGAGTGTGGTCGTTTCTTTTTATTGTTGATTAATGTTTCGTTGCATGAATATATCACAGTATCTTTTTCCCCCTCCTATTGCTAGGCATTTGGTTTGCCTCCACTTTGGGGCTATTATGAACAGCTTGTATGTGTACTTTGGATGTCATCATGGCCTTTAACCTCCCAACTCTAGGGGGAAGATATGATTATTTCTTCCATGTTAGAGACGTGGAAAGCAGGACTAAAATGTGATTAAGCAAGATTCCTAAGACCAATCTGTGTGCCTCCCACGCTCCTGCTGTTGACCATTAGGCCATACTCCTACCTAAGAGAAGGCAGAAAGACACTAACAGGGATGGATGAATGGATGGATGGATGAAGGGATGGATGGATGGATGGATGGACGGGTGGATGGGCAGGCAACGAATCTGGATACAAAAGGAATCTATAAAGAAAGGAAAAAGTTGTCTGCGCTTAGTCTAAATGTTTCCTGCACCTTCTGGAAGCCCTGCTGACAGGCTGAAACCTGTGTCCTCCGGCCCCCAGAAACCCTGTGCCATAGAGTCCCCAAACCTTGTCATCAACCTCAAACCTAAGCTGTGCCCATAAGCTCTTTGGGCTTTGTGATGAGACCACGTTAGGGTCAATTCTTATTCACCATGTGGCTGCTCTCTCTCAGACTGGAGGCTCGTGTTACCCAAGAGTATTCTGAGTGACAGACAGCAAAGCTTCCGGGGAGCCTTGCGAAGCCGGCAGCAGATGGGGCCTCTGTTCCGCATGCAGGGAGAAGCCACCAGCCCCAAGCCTGGACCCTACAGCCACCGCCAAACCAGCCTCTCTCCGGCCTTCTTTCCAATTTCTGGCCTAGTACACATGGGTCGAGTCCCTACGAAGCACTAGGTACAGTGCTGAGTCCTGGAAATGTGAAACAAACGCCCCACTGCCAAGGTGCTCCCAGCCCGGCGAGGGTCGGCGGTGTCTCCGTGGCACGCACAGGGGAGGCGGCTCAGGGTCCAGACCTTGAGCTCGGGAACCATGGGTTTAAACGCCCACTTTGCCATTGGAGAGCCACGTGACCTTGGCTATTCCATAACATCTCTTACCTGTTTCTTTCGCTATAAAATGTGGATGGAAAATAACAGCTACCTTACGAGGCTGTTTCGGGAATGAAAAGCCATAACAGGCAGAGCCTGGCGTACAGTAAGTGCTCAATAAATGACAGGACTGAGGAGCTGGGAGCACAGGGCAGGGAACACCCCAAGGACTCGGAATAAAGGTTTTATGGTTTATTCACTGGGGGAAACCTTGCAGTTAGAGGGGAAAAGGCAAGTGGACAACCCTCTACTGCCTTCTCACAAGTGAATCTCTGTGAAAAGGGGGCGGGACTCCCCCAGATCTAACTTATGGGTAATGTATGCAAAAGAGCATTGCTTTCTCAGCATTGGGCCTAAAGTTAGCTTCCTTTTCAGTCCAGAATGACAGCATTTAGGGCCTGAATTAAAGAAAAGCCATGTAGAATGTCCATGTATACAAGTAAGGACAGTCTACCCTGTTCTTAAAAAGGCATGATCACGCCGGGCCTCGTTCTTGCCTGGTGGCTGGCTGCTCGCTTAAGCTGTGTCTATCTTCTTTCTAGAAGATTAAAAAGGTTGAGAAAATAGGAGAAATCTTTCTGAGCCTTTGATCAAACCCCAGCATTAGGCTGCCATCCATCGTGATAATTTCTGGTTCTGATTATCTCTGTTTGCAACCATCTTTGTGACCCGGAAGCAGAGACCTCGCCCAAAGGAATGGCATGGAAAACCAGGGTTCTATTGCACCCATTTTGTATCTGATCAATTGAACGTGAGTAACTGCTAGAATAAGAAAATAAAACGTTTGCTTCCCCGGAGGCTCAACTGTCAGCTTTTTAATCAAATCACAGTTTGAATTCAGTTCCCGGCTTTCTTTCTCCTCCATATGTGGGGCTGGATGGTAAGGGACTGTAGCTAAAACTATAACTGATCAGTATGGGTGTCAACGCCGGCAAATCCTTTTCGCACCCAGTAAAGTAATAATTCATGAATGTTGTGGCAACCGCTCCTGTGAACCTTGTCACCTGTCACCTCCCTGAGCTACTCACCCAGGTACGTGTACCGCCTGTTCATGATCGCTTCGTCGTTCAGCTTGAAGTAGGTGTTGTCCGTCAGGTTCAGCACCTTGACCGTCCCAGCCCAATAAAACGACCCCGGGGCGCCCATCACCACCAGCTCCTGCCGAAGAGAAACCCAAAGGTGATCAGAAAAGAAGCTGAAGGGGGAAGTAGGCAGTGAGATGAGAACCACAATCACCACAAGGAACTCATAAGTCAATTCAAGACACCTCATCAGGGACTCTCTTCAGCTGAGCAATACGAAAACAATGTCGCCTGATTCCCTGGGGTTACGGAGTCTATACACGGACAGGGCTACCGGGAATAGAGACCAAGATAACTGAGCACATGGACAAGACGAGTAGCAAACTGGGTCTCTGTCCTACCCACAGAGGAAGCCTCACATCTTGTCCTCACTTTCCCACCAGGATCAAACAAGGAAATGGCAAAGATCGGACACTGCTCGAATTCTAGGGAGCGATGCTCGGGAAAAGATACCACCCCCTTCTCTAGCCAGGCCTCCAGCTCCACTATCCAGCAACCGCACCTGCCCGCTACCGAGCAGGAGAAAAACAGGGACCAACATCAGCTTTGCAAAAAAATAGGCAGGAAATCCCTTCCAGTCCTCACTCAGGCCTCTCATCTCAGAAACGGCTCTGAAGCTGGGTGTTCTGGCAACTGTGGCCCCTGCAAGCTCAGGATGACATCCAGAGAGCAGCGAGCCCCCCTAGGGGAAAGATGCAGACTGGAAAGAGAAGAGACTACAGACAGCTAGAGACAGCATTACTATTTGCTTTTTGTTTGGTTGGTTGCTTGCTTAATCCTCACCCGAGGATATTTTTTCCATTGATTTTTAGAGAGAGTGGAAGGGAGAAGGAGACACTGAGAGAAACATCGATGTGAGAGAGACACATTGCCTGCTTGCCTCCCACTCGTGCCCCAATCAGGGCGTGGAATCGAGCCTACAACCGAGGTACTTGCCCTTGGCCAGGAATCGAACTCACGACCTTCCAGTCCGAGGACCGGTGCTCTAACCACTGCTCAGGGCAGGGCAGCACTACTATTGTAAACTGACCTTGAAACACTAAGACACATCTGTCTCCAGCATTTCCATTAGCAGCAATGGGCCAGCAACCTCGACAAGCCTGAGCACCCGTCTATGCTACAAAACCATCCAGGGACCAACGCTGGGGATAATTCTATGCTCAGAGGTGACTCGGTGGCCCACGGAGGGCAGCACGGAAATCTGCATGATCTTACCCACAAGAAGATGCGTAACTGTGCTAACGGAAGTTGGAAAACTGTGCTAACCGAGGCAGCTCACATCGGAATTCTAAGCCACGGTACGTCCATTCGACAGATTCTGTGGCAACAAAAATACTGCAGACGATCTAACGGCACAGAGTCACACAGTGCTCTGAGCGTGAAAGAGTACACCCAACAACACCCACGCCGCGAGCAGGCTTATAAAAGAAGAGTGTATACAGACAGACAGACCGAGACCAGAAGGACAAGCTCCAAACCATGTGTGTCTTTTCCACCGGGTGACAGACAGGATTTCAGGAAGCCTTTTTTGATTTTTTTCTCTCTTTTTTATCCCAAAGGTTTATTTTCTCTGTGTTTTCTCAAATTTCTAGAACAATGATTAAACACTGACAATGAAGTCATCTCAGAAAATGCAAAATGGGCCCTGGCCAGTATTGCTTACTGGTTAGAGTGTCGGCCCCTGCATGGAAGGTTCTCGGGTTCAATTTCCAGTCAAGGGCATGCACCTGGGTTGCAGGTTTGATCCAGGGCTGGGCCTGGGGGGGGTGGGGGGTGCGGGAGGCAACCAATCTATGTGTCTGTCTGTCTGTCTCTCTTCCCCTCCCCCCATTCTCTCTAAAAATCAATGGAAAAAATATCCTTGGGGGAGGATTAGCAAACAAACAAAAAACGAAAATGCAAAATGTGTTCCTGGGAGGACACTGCACAGGCATTGAGAGGGAGCCCAGGCCGCGAGGAGGCTGATGGGCCGAGGGAAGCCAGGCGCCCACTGCATCGTGCATCCAGTGGTGCCCAGCTGAGCCCTTCACTCCTTCCTTCCCCCGGGGGTGGGAGGAGAGGAGCAGTGCCTCTCCCTGGAAGTCCCTCATCTCTGGCGTTTTCCATTCAGTGCGGGTGATGCCTGTACCTGCTGGCACTGCCCGCAAGTTACTGATGCTTTAGTCCCCCACCCCCCAGGACCAGCCAAGGCAAAGGTCACCCACAGACATGCCCGTTTCCCCAGGAGCTGCGTGTGGAGCCCCATCAATGAACAGAGTGGGCCTTGATCGCAGAACCTCAGGGCGCAGGGGCATCTGGGGGTGCTGAGAGAGGCCGGGGTTTCCTCTGCACATGGCACGGTGGCGGGAGCTGGACAGCAGAGGAATGCTCGGGTTCGACCATGGAAGTCTGTGCCGAACAGCCCTGCCCCCAGGTGTCTCCCCGCTTCCACCGTGGGCTCCGATGCTGGCAGGGCTGGTCCACGTCTTTTCTTACTTAGAGGAATCCATCCCCTAAGCTACAAAAGTCAATGAAGTTCCCAGGAAACCCCTGCTTATCCTCAATGGCCGGCGAAAACTCTCGTGGTGCCCGTAACTCACACGGCTTTGATAACCCCAGGGTCACCGACCCCCAGGTCAGGCAGGCACTTTGGGGGAGAGTGCGTCAGGGCCACATGGCCATGCCCAGAGGCCACAGAAGCACGCCCAGCTTGGGACCAGCTGCCGGCCCCGTGCAGGGGCCTCCCAGCTCACGGCAAAGGCAGGCCCAAGCGACGAGGTCAGCAGGAGGGCAGAGGAAGGGAGCAGCGCCGTGTGACCCCTTCCACCACATTTCCTGCTCAGCCTGCGACAGCTGAGGTTCCAGAAACGAGGGAGGCAGGGAGTTCAAAGACCTCCAGTTCAGAGAGGCCAAAAGCCTGGGAACTGAAGCACAGGCCAAAGCCCCGAGTGGCCAGGAGACAGAATGACCGGGTCAGAGAGCTGATCCTCGGTCGCTGCCACTCCTCCCCTACCTCCCCCTCCTCCCCACCCCCATGCACCAAGGCCCCACTTCTGGGGGCTCCCAGCGCAGCCGGCACATGCTGAGGCACCGTGGTTCCAGAGCCTGGGGTTTTCACAGGTCCCTGTTCCCCTGCCTGCCTTGAGCTCACCCCGCCACCTGGGTTTCCCCTCCACACCCTGCCCCGCCCTGCCTGCTCCTCCTACGGTGGCCCCCTCCCCCCCAGCCCCAATGCCCTCATGTTCTCCCCAGCCTTCCTGGCTGATGAGACCACCATGATGCCCCTTCACCGGGGACTCTCCCCCTTAGCTCTTCATCAACATCTCCGATGAGTTCTCAGGTCTGCGATGAGGCTACTTTCTCCCCGCCCCCCATCGAAAGGAGGCATTCTCCCCGCACCCTCGGCCTCCACGCTAAGCACACGCAGTCCCTCAGACAGTAACCAGCACTGGCCGGATCCAAGTTTCTAACTCAGGCGGGGATCGGCCCCCTCTATCCAAACACCTTCTGAAAACATCTATATGCGTGTGCCTCGTCCCCTCACTCAGCCCGTGTGTGAAGCAGACCCCTCAGGGTACCCATCCCACTGAGTCCTCCTTGGGGGGCCCTTCCCCCGCACACCAGGCTCCAGAGCCCTGGCTGGAAAGCTTCCTCTCCCCACGCCCTCTGCCCACCCAGCCCACTGGTACTGCCTTCACACTCTCCAACTCCCCGCGGCCTTCTCATCCCTAAAGGTCTCCCTAGCCTGCACCGTTGCTTTGGGGCCAGACCCCATCACAGCCCCCTACCTGGCCTCCCTCTAGGCCGTCCCACTTCCAAATTCCTGGGCACACCCAGCCCACGTAGCCACTCTCACAACATGGCCATCCACGCGTCGTCACCTGCTCCTGAACGGACAGTGGGTCCCTGTAACCTACGGGGACACTAGACCTCCCTGGAGGAGGGACGGACATAGAAGTTGCACACTCTGAGAGCTTCCTGGGACGGAAGAGAGTAACCTTGGCACATGGCAGGATGGTAATTCAAACCAAAGGGGACAGGAAACAGTTCAGCACACAGTATCAGAACAATCCACTACACACTTAGGAAACCCGCGGAGTTCATTTCTACCACGTAACGTCTGCAAAAAGAAACCCAGGTGCATTAATATATGCGTTCTTTCCGTCTATCAAAGTGCTGGAACAGTGGTTCTCAACCTTCCTAATGCCGCAACCCTTTAATACAGTTCCTCATGTTGTGGTGACCCCCAACCATAAAATTATTTTCGTTGCTACTTCATAACTGTAATGTTGCGACTGTTATGAGTCGTCATGTAAATATCTGATATGCAGGATGTATTTTCATTGTTACAAATTGAACATCATTAAAGCATAGTGATTAATCACAAAAACAATATGTAATTATGTGTTTTCCGATGGTCTTAGGCGACCCCTGTGAAAGGGTCGTTCGACCCCCAAAGGGGTCGCGACCCACAGGTTGAGAACCGCTGTGCTGGAAGAAAGCCCGGGTGGCATGTTGCCTTCCTAGGACGGGATGACACCCACCTCGGTGAAGAAGCCTGCTATCCCCGCCTGGCAGGAGCCGTGTTCTTCTCCGTACTTCTTCTTATACTCTGGAGGGGGCGGGAGGAGAGAGAGCAAACCACAGCCCGGTCAGTGTGTGCCAGTCGTGTGCGGGGCGGCCGAGCGGGCCCCTTCCCCGGGTGCTGCTGCGGGCTGGGCCCCGGGACGCCGTCCAGCCCGCGGCACGGCAGGGAAGTCTCAGGAATCCGCCCGACCGCGAAAATCCAGACTCTGGTGCCATCAGGTAGCGAGGCTGCCAAGTGCCCCATGTGGGGAGAGAGGAGCAGCAGCCATGGTGATGGAGTGGGAGGCGGGTGACAACGATCTCATTAACGTTAGTTAGGAAAGACCAGAGCCCCAGCAGGAAGGAGGAGCTGAAAACATGGCCCAGACGTGGACTGATGTCGCCCTCCCAGCGTGCAGACGACCAAGCCTCCGAAAAGACACTCCATACAGCTGGAGGCAATATGGTTCCCTCCGTGCAACCCAAACCGGCCATGAGAACCCATCTGCAGAAGGAGGGGACCCCCATACCTGCCCCGGGACCCGTTCCACCATCACTGGTGGCGTGCGGTGACACTATACACTGCCACCCCGTTTTTCTCCTTCCACACAAGGAAAGGGGGGGGAACGCTCCAGGTCAAAAGAAAACCAAAGGATGAGCTCTTTCCTCCCTACTCCCTCAGTTCCCAACGCTCCACCCTGCCAAAGGGGGCTGTTTTATTTTGAAGTTTGCAAGGAAAAGTGTTAGCATGTTCCCAGCCCTGTGTCGACTCACACCATGGCACATATCCTTCATCCCTGAGAGCCCGTATCGCCATTTACCTGTTGACAGGTAACACCCCTGAGGCTCAGAGAGGTTGAGTGAACTGTCCAAGGTCACACAGCTAGTCAACGGCAAAGCCAAAATTCTACCCCAGGCTCGGCAGGCTCAAAAAGCCACATGCTGTCATCTCTGCGGCCCATCCGAGGTTTTGCAAAGTGAGGGATTGCACAACAGCCAGGAAGCAACCAGCCGTCTGCACTCAGGACATGTGTAAAGACATGGAGAGATGTTCAGCTCAGGCGACTCAGATTAATGACAGGTGACCCTGACGTTGCTGGACACTGGCTCCCGGCTGCCCCTGGGCACCTTTGGGTGGGGGGCTAGCCAGCAAAATAACCCAGGGGACACCCCTCACCCCCTTGGGCTCTAAGCCTCTGGTACCATGAAAAGCAACATACTTACTTTGGAAACTTTTCTACATAAATACACAATCTCCTTAAATCTGAAACAAAATAAATAATACAAGGGAACAGTGAAGCCGGGATTGCAACACAGTGCCACTTCCTGCAGCCCAGCTCCGCTGGAGGAGAAGGGGAAGGGCCCTGGGGACACGTCCAGAGCAATTCACTTCCTAACAACACTCACCGCAGAGCCTGGTAACATTTTCCAGTAAGTGGCCATTAACCGCTGCTAAATTACTATGGAATGTCAAGCGAGTTACTCGTCCTTCCTGCAGAGGGCTAAGCCGCTCTGGGCTGGGTCCTGGTAACCAGGAGAACTCAGCAGGCCTGCCCTGCCCCAAAGCAGCCCGGGGCCAGCACAACTTGCTTGTTCTCCGCACAATCTCACCCTGGGGCAGGGCGAGGGGCATGTGCAAAGCCACAGATAGCCCAGCCCGTGTGGCTCAGTGGTTGACCCCTGACCTATGAACCAGGAGGTCACGGTTTGATTCCCCGACAGGGCACATGCAAGGGTTGTGGGTTCGATTTCCGGTGTGGGATGTGCAGGAGGCAGCCGATCAATGATTCTCTCTCATCATTGATGCTTCTATCTCTCTCTCCCTCTCCCTTCCTCTCTGAAATCAATAAAAATATATTTAAAAAAAACAACACCAACAAAGTCACAGATAGGTCCTGCATCCAGTTATAGGATGGCAAGAAACAATAAAAAGTCATCATAATCCCTATACCCTATGGCACAAGGAGCAGAACGCCCCAACCTGCACAGTTATATGAAACCTAGAAAGTCTGGAAAAAGCATATCCACCCGCCGACACTGGGGGCTAAACACCCACTCCCGAACAAATAAGCAGAGAAAGGAAACTCAGATGCCCCCAAACTGAACGAAACTACACGGCAGGGCACCCGTTCGGCCTCAGACGTCTACGACAGGAATAGGGACTACGTCGGAATCTTCCATGCTTTAAAGAAGAAATGGGTCTCAAGGTCTCTCGTGCGAGCGGCACTAAAGAGCGGTAGGTAAGAACATGTCCGTGTCTCTCTCCGCCTCATCCCCACACTCCGTGCCAGGAGCAGACCCAGGGTTTCTGAGGTGGCCACAGACACACGGGGAGCTCCCGGCCCCAGGAGAAAGGCCAGCGAAGTGAAGCCTTTTTACTGTCACTTCTGCCTCGGCCACCAAGGAGGCAGCGACCGGGCACCATCACAGGCCAGCTCCTGGCTCCCCAAATAGGGACGTGCCTCACCAGAGGTCAGAGGGCGAGGCTCGCACAGAGAGCAGGCACCATCCCACCGGCTCTGAGGTTCTGAAACCCCAGGGACTGTACCTGCCTTCTCAGAATGCCCGAAAACAGGACTCACACCACTGGGGGCTCCTGACTGGAACCCATCCCTCTCAAGGAGAAGACAGGCAATGTTCCGGCCTCCCAGGATCCTGTGTGACCGTGGGATCAGCCCCTTACTTTGGGAGAGGATCACCCCGTCCCACCCCACAAACTCTGGGAGGGAAGGGGGAAGTTATAGGACTCTAGCCTAGGAAGGCTCCACGGACGGGCCCGGATTAGACAGCTGCACATTGCAAGCCCCCCACAGCCTTCCAGAACCCTCCTCTGCTCCTCGGTCAAGGTGACCTTGCAGGTAAAGGTACAGGGGACCCTCTGCTCATCACAAAACATGTTTGTTCATCTCACAGTCTACTCAACACAAAGATGAGCTCATTCATCTCAGCGCCCCCAACACCAGCCCTGTCTGTGCCAGGCACCTGTGCGTGCTGAGGACAGGGGTGCATACGTGCTGTTCCGTCCCACCTGACACTAAGTACTGAACCCCCAACCTGCTTCGATTTGGACCTTTGTCCCACCCACCCCCAACCTTCCAGCCCTGCCTCCTTCTCTCTTCCAACCTGTCAGGCTCCCTGACCTCCACCCCAGCCCTGATTGGAAAGGAATTGCATTCTGGGTAGCAGGCCCCCTGGGTTCTCCACCAGTGCCACAACGAACTGCAGAGGTCAATGTTGAGGGTGGGTGTGAGCACAGCAAGGACCTGCTGGGTGGATTGTTCTGGGCTTTCCAAACCTAGAGTGGCTGAGCCCACCCTGGGCAATTCCATCTCCCCTTGGGCCCCAGGAGAATATGCAGATCCAGTTCTTCAATCCCTGCCCAGCCCCAGGCACGACCCTTCACTGTCCCCCAAAACCCAAGAGGAGCCCCTGAGCCACAGCCGGGAGGGCCCAGCCCGGGAGACCAGGCCCATAACGTTGCCTTGTCTGGGTCCAAACCCATCCTCCGTAGGCGAAGTGCTCTCTCTCAAAGCCACACCCCTCTGAAGAACTGACGTGAGCATCCTTCGCAGACTTCAGAGCTGTCCCTCATCAATCCCGTCTGGAGAGGCAGCCCGCTGCCACGTACGGCCGCCAGAGCCCCAAGCTCCGGTCCAGCCCAGCCTGCTCCTTGGCAGTTAAAAAAGAAAAAAAATCACACTGCCCGAGCCTGCTGGGTAGTCAGGAATCCCGAATAAGTGAGGAGCCACCTAAGAAAGCGCATTGTAAAGGGAACAAGGCCACACCACAGGCAAACTGACACCTCAGGGCGCCATGGTGACCATCAGGGCCAGGCCTGGGCTACAGGGACTTTCCCGAGAGGCAGTGGCCAGATGCACCGGGCACTGGACCACAGCTCACGTCAGTTACTTCACCTTTTGGAGTGCTATCTCTGTGCATTAGAGACACCACAGTTACTATAACCTGATTCTTTCTTTTAGAAAATGACATAAAGAGGTCAGGTGGAGGTTTCTCCCTAATGCACTTCCCACACGTACAGGCCGGGGTCTGGGTGTGCAGACCCACCTATGTGCCATGCCCACATCCTGGAAAACTTGCATTTGGCCTGCCCAGCCCGCAGCAGGCAGGAAAGCCTCTCCCACAGAACCAGGAGAAGGGGGGAGGGCACGTGGAGATAAGGGGCTGCGCGGGCACTGCGTCCGTCTGCAAGAGACCCCCCAGGTCACACCCCTGCCATTGAGAAGTGCAGGAAGTAGGGGTGGAGGGATGGGGTGGGACCTTCAGTCTCTTGTGTTCCCAGGAAGAATTGTTCCTGCACACACACAAAGGCTGCGGGCCCCACAGGGGGCTGCTCCAGGGCACGCCCACTCAGCCTCCGAATGCCCCAAGGACATGGCCCTGGGGAACAGAACATGCATCCACGTGGAAGCTGCAGGGAGAAGCCAGCTTGGCAGGCCAGCAGCTCACAGACGCTGCAGGAAATTGAAGGCTGTTACATCTGGGGGAACTGAGCCTGGGAAGCAAAAGGTGTGGTTGAAGGAGGGGGCCTAGACGTGGGCTGGGGGAGCTGGGACAGGTCGGAAGGCTGCTTTCTGCTGCGGCCCGGTCTGAATTACTGGGCCTGCGTCACCAGCTTTGATGCATTGAAGTTGTATGGCTCCTCATTCTAAAAACGGCAGAATTCTCCTCGGTTTAGCTGCTGGTTTCACTAAGCCCTGTCTAAACAGAAGGCAATTCAGAGAGGAAAAAATATGCTGGTTTCCAGACATTCACAATCCACACAGCTCAATGCCCGGAGCTTTTGAATTTTAATTCGTTCAAGAATAAACTTGGGTGGGGTCCCTTCCTGCACTCTTCCCAGACCCTGGTGGGATAAAACCAACCCATGGAAAGATCAAGATTTATATACGGAGGAACATATATCCTTCCTACTAATCTCTCTTCCTACTTCCCATCTGAGCACGGTTCATCTTTCAAAGCCAATCTTCTTAACACACCAATTTTAAAATTATTTTTCCATGGTTCCTTAGCTTAGCTATGAAATAA